ACAATCACCTATATCAATGAAATCGGTCACCCTGATAACCAGTTTTGTATGTGGGTTGTTAACAATGCTTACCAAAGCAAAGCCATGTTATCCATAATATTCACTGCGAACCTCTAGTCTCATAGGTGACCTTCAGCTCTATATAGCAGTATAGCATATGGTGTACACATATATGGCGTAGGATGGTAGAAGAGGCAGCCCAGCTTAATGCAAATAGGCTTAAACACTTCTGTTACCCTTTGTCTCATATCGGGCAATGATTTTTTCGCGTTTCCGAAATTTTCATTTTTCGACCATATGAGACCTGAGTTAGGAGTAGTATCCCTATGATACATGGCGAGTAAGAGCATGTGCACGACGCAAAACATAAATATCAGAACATATAGACATGTTATAAATCAATCGATGGGTAATGATTAGAGGAGTTCAATAAAACAAACCCCATCGAAAAATGTTAATCCTATCGAAAGATAAATATGTTCCCGGTTTTAGCACAAAATCACTTAGCGCATCTTTAACTATATAACAAGCAATTGAATTTATCACACCATTTTCTAAACCATATGAGTAGAGTTCGTGTACATTGACAGTAGCTTTACAAAATTCAATTGAAAAATAATCAATATTATTTCTCTTGCAGAAATAATAACGCGAATTCATTTTGGTTAAGCATTTGTCCACTTTTATTTGGAATTGTAGTTTCTCTGTTGTCATAGTGATAGTAGTAGGAAAAATGAAATATGATAAACTGTTATCATATGTTTTGTTAAAAAGTTCTAATCATAAACATATAACATCAATATTATTTTAGAATAGAGAGAGAGTGTTAGAAAATACGAAAAACGCTAGAGACTATTAATTAAGAAGCTTAGCACTCAGTCAGATCAATCAATCAGTAATCAACCGTAGGTTACTAGTCTTCGATCATAGGTGTATCCGAAGCATTGTTCGTGTATCCTGGGACGACCGAGTAAGCAATGCTATCGTTAGGAAACAAGTACTAGGTAAGGATGGCAAATCAATAGATGAAGTAGTGAAACTTTATCAGTTGAGGTAGTTGGGACATGTGTTACGTATGCCCAACCACCGACTGCTGCGACGAGCTATGTTTTGTGGTGTAGGAGTGGGTTGGAAGAAAGTTAGGGGCGGTCAAACCAAAACATGTCGAAAATTCGTGAAGTCACTGACAAGTGGACTGAGTCATGTTGGTAGATGTAGGCTACGTGGTTGGGCTCTGCGAGACGACACTAACCGATGGTTAGAGACCTTGAATGACATGGCTCAGAATCGTTTGCAATGACTCAGGCGCACCCACTCTTTGTGTGCTTTTTAATCGTAACCTTCTGAATTCCTCATAATCTCTGTCTTTCTCCTTCTAAATTTATCTTACTGAATTATACTTCTCGAATCATATCTTCGCTCCCTAATCTTCTCCATTACTGCTAATAATTCTACTATCGCTATCACTCTTGGATTTGATCTGACAGTTACGTCTCTGTGCTGACGTGGTATGGCAACCTGAACTGATGTACTTAAGTACGAAGTTCTGAGTTGTATTTGTCTGTCTTGTCTGTCTGTCAGTAATCAACAAATACATTGAAATCGATCCAATTTATCAGTCAATCAGAAAAACCATGGATAAATATGGGACCAAGAGTGAAATCAAACGAGGATGCACTCTGTTACAAATGCATGTAAACATGTGAAATTGATATGCTTGAATTATTACGAGTTTACTTTAGTCGGATCCGGCGACACGACATGCTACTCAAATCCGATTATCCCAACTCCCATATTGAGTAAAAATAAGAAGACTTGATATGAAGCAGAATCTGTATTCTACAAGCCTCCAGGAAGTACGAGGTCCGAGTCCAGAAGAGAATCAGGATCCCGGACTAGGGATCCGGTACTGGGTCCAGGTCATAGAACGCTACAGATAATGCGTATTTATATATTTAGGTCAAATAGGAAACATCATCGAAGTCTGTGACACCGACAGTTAAAAAGACCAATAGGAAGCATCGTTTGAAGTGACGTTGAAATTCATGACAACCAATAAGAAATAACATTGGAGTACGTGACATTGAAATCTAGGACGATCATGAAATTGACCAGTAGGAATTAACCAATAGGAATTAACCTATAATTCTCTTAGGATATTGGATGAAAATATCCTAACACACTCAAAATAACAAAGCAGATAATGACAACAGTACAAGCTAGATGTTACATATGGAAGAAATTTGAATACAGTTCACGTCTACTTGAAGTTTTATGCTGACGCTAATTAAAATGTTGTTCAGAAGAACCATGATAGCTACACAATTAAATCATTATCTAACTGAGAGAATGAAATTATACCATTTTGTATATCGATCATTACTTATTCATCGACTGACTGAATACCTGTTGATTTACTTTCATATGATATTCTCTTTATCTAACATTTAATCAATAATCGAGTAGTTAGCCATAGTCATAGACCATCATCATACTACGTTCCTTTCTGTTCATTTTTATCATCTGTCTATTTGTACAAGAATGGCTGAAATAAAATTTCTACATTTCAAATTCATTTTTGGCTTTGATTATGATCTTTTTTTCAACTAGAGTTATGAAGATCAATGTTTTCACATATTGAAATTATCAATCGATCATTGTTAGACCACATCATTAGAAACTGAGAAGTACTGAAAGACGGTTGTTTCGTCCTGGTAGGGGACTCAACAGTGACAGTACGCATCCACAACTCCTGCGCCTCGCGGGATTTGAACTCAGGACCTTCGGTATTGTGCGTGAACGCCTAACCTCCGGACCGCTGAGCCAGCCAGTATCCGACAGTGATAATGTCTAACTCTGAACAATCTAGGCATTTTGCTCGACACTACCCATTTGTCTTCGGTAGTTACTGTCTACACCCGATAGGGTTGAACTCCACTGGTCACGCTCCAAACACCAGGATGAACCGGCCGTCTTTCAGTGTTTAAAGGTTTTTAATGATAGTGGTCTAACAATGATTGATTGATGATTTCAAATGTGTATATTATGATTGTTGTTCAACGAGGAGCAGATTTCCTAAGAGAGGTAAAAGCAATAATTGACTTGAGAAGCGGGAAAATGGTCACAAAGTACGGTTCATTGCCAATACATGAAAGTAGCGAAGTGGCTGAAATAAGGATGGCAACGGACGTCTCGACCAAGAAACCTAACGTTAACGAGTTATGCGCAAAGTATGCGAAACTGTTCACTGGAGATGGGGAGCCGTATGGATTTTGTGACAAAGTAAAGCATGAAATTCCTATAAAGAACGACCGAGTAAATATATTTACAACACGTCGTGTCCCAGTGCATTTAGAGGCCGAGGTAAATCGACAGGTCCAGGAAATGTTGAAGGAAGGTATAATTGAGGAAGCAGACAGCCCGTATAGCTCACCGGTACTCTTGGTAAAGAAACCCAATGGAAAGTATAGATTTTGCGTCGACTTTAGAGAACTGAATAATATAACAGACCTGAAACCGTGCGCAATGCCAACAGTAGTAGAAACATTAGATCGATTACAGAATGCCACGGTGTTTACAGTGCTGGATTTACGGTCAGGTTATTGGCAACTACCTATAAAAGATAGCGATCGCAACAAGACAGCATTTACTATACGGGATAAACAGTATCAATTTAAACGAATGCCGTTCGGGTTGGCTGGTGCACCGTTCACGTTCAGAAGATTGATGACGCTGCTGCTTAAGAATCTAGATAATGTTGAGGTATATGGCGACGATGTAGTTGTATACAGCCTGAGGGAAGCGGTCTTAAAGCGAATTGACGAATATGGGCTTCGAATTAATAAGGAAAAGTCGCAGATAGCGAAAAACAGCGTCATATTGTTGGGACATAAAGTGGGAAACGGAGAAATAAAGCCATTACCAGAGAAAATTCTTACCATAAAAAATATTGCAGTACCTAATTCGAAAAGGAAGTTGAGACAGTTCCTGGGAAGAGCTGCCTTCTATAGTCGCTTTGTCAAGAATTTCAACGAAATAGCAGCACCCTTATATAAGTTGCTGAGCAACACCAAGTTTACATGGACTGAGGCTGCCGAACAAACGTTCAACCGAATCAAAAACATGCTAGACGATCGTCAGATGACGCTGCGACTGCCTGAACCCGGTAAACTGTTTACAGTGGCCACAGATGCAAGTGATCATGGTATAGGTGCGGTATTGAGTCAGGCTGATAGAGTGGTGGAATACGCAAGTCGCGTTCTCACACCCGCCGAACAGAAGTATTCAACGATCGAGAAGGAATGCCTAGCAATCGTGTGGGCAGTAGAGAAATGGAGACCGTACCTTTTAGGTAGACGATTTCACATCGAGACGGATCATAAGCCCCTACAATGGTTGAAAACAGCAAAAGACCCTCGGGGGAAGTTGGCTCGATGGATGCTACGTCTGCAGGAGTATGATTTCAGCATCGGGCATGTGCCAGGGGAGGAAAATGTAATGGCAGATTATTTGTCAAGACCGGACACCGAAGCCGAACTTCCAGAGATAGCGTGTGCAGTTAACGGCCTAGAGGGAGAACCCCTAGAACTCGTCCAACATCAGAAAGCCGACCCTAACCTTCGGGAGGTAATCAGAGTGATAAAAGAGGGAGAAGATGTTGACAAGAGTAGAACAGATAAAGAATTAACAGTGTTGCTGAGGCAGAAGGAGAGACTGAGAGTGAACGGATACGGAGCCTTGACCTGGCGGGATGATGACGAGAATTGGGTAGCAATAATCCCAAAAGATCTGCGCCAGGAGATGATTCGTGAATGTCACCAGGTAGCGCATACAGGTATTGCACGGACAACTGATTTGCTGCGACAAAGTGCGTACTGGCCAGGTATGAGAGACGATGTTGCACGATATGTATTAGCGTGCCAGCGATGTCAACTAATGAAAGGAGATCGATGCATACGACCGCCATTGCAGTCAATTCCAGTAACAGCAGTTGGTGATTTGTGGTCAGTAGATGTTATGGGACCGTTCCCGCAGACGACAAGTGGCAACCAGTACCTGCTGGTGATGACTGAGCATGCCACACGATGGGTAAATGCCGTGCCGATGGCGGACCAACGTGCAAGGACGGTGACGGAAGCGGTAATGCGGCACATTGTGGCGGACCATGGGATACCAAAGATAATATTAACCGATCAAGGTCCCTGTTTCGAGAGTGATGAGTTCAAGTCCCGTCTAAAGCAGTTAGGTATCAAGAGAGTACGAACAACGCCGTATCATCCACAGACGAATGGGTTAACGGAAAGGAATAAAGCTTGTCCTGTCGTCATTATCTGCTTTGTTATTTTGAGTGTGTTAGGATATTTATCCAATATCCTAAGAGAATTATGAGTCAATTCCTATTGGTTAATTTCTATTGGTCAATTTTGTAGTCGTCCCAGATATTAATGTCACGTGCTCCAATGTTGTTTCTTATTGGTTGACCTGAATTTCAGCGTCACTTCAAATTTTGTTTCCAATTGGTCGTCTTAACTGTCAATGTCACAGACTTTGAACCTAAATACGCATTATCTGTAGCGTTTCATTACCCTGATGCCTAATCCGGGATCCTAATTCTCTGTGGTGTTGTTTCGTTCTCTGAGCTGGTTGTTTTGGTTGTGGAGCTTTCATTGTTCTTCTGAACAACATCATCAGCACAAACTTCAGATAGAAGTGAAGCATTCGAATTTCTTCACGTTTGACCTGGGTAGGGGAGGACAAAGAACACTAGAAAATTTTTAGAAGCTTGGCACTCAGGCCAATCAGCAATCAACAAACACATCGACATTGACTCAATTTATCAACCAATCAAAAAAATCATAGGTGAAACAGGATCAAGAAACAGATCAAAACGGGGGTGCAATCAAAACAAAGGTGCAAACAACGACAGGTCAAAAGTCAACAGCAACCAATCAAAATCGAGGTTAGCAGAACAAGTTACAGGTCAAACGTGGAGAAATTCGAATGCTTCACTTCTATCTGAAGTTTGTGCTGATGATGTTGTTCAGAAGAACAATGAAAGCTCCACAACCAAAACAACCAGCTCAGAGAACGAAACAACACCACAGAGAATTAGGATCCCGGATTAGGCATCAGGGTAATGAAACGCTACAGATAATGCGTATTTAGGTTCAAAGTCTGTGACATTGACAGTTAAGACGACCAATTGGAAACAAAATTTGAAGTGACGCTGAAATTCAGGTCAACCAATAAGAAACAACATTGGAGCACGTGACATTAATATCTAGGACGACTACAAAATTGACCAATAGAAATTAACCAATAGGAATTGACTCATAATTCTCTTAGGATATTGGATAAATATCCTAACACACTCAAAATAACAAAGCAGATAATGACGACAGGACAAGCTAGATGTCATATGTGGAAGAAATTCAAATACAGTTCACTTCACAATGAAAGCTACACAATTAAATCATTATCTAACTGAGAGAAAGAAATTATACCATTTTGTATATCGATCATTACTTATTCAATCGACTGACTGAATACCTGTTTATTTACTTTCATGTGATATTCACTTTATCTAACATTTAATCAATAATCGAGTAGTTAGCCATAGTCATAGACCATCATCATACTACGTTCCTTTCTGTTCATTTTTATCATCTGTCTGTTTGTACAGGAATGACTGAAATAAAGATTTCTACATTTCAAATTCATTTTTGGCTTTGATTATGATCTTTTTTTCAACTAGAGTTATGGGGATCAATGTTTTTACACATTGAAATCATCAATCGATCATTGTTAGACCACATTATTAGAAAGACGGTTGTTTCGTCCTGGTAGGGGACTCAACAGTGACAGTACGCATCCACAACTCCTGCGCCTCGCGGGACTCGAACTCAGGACCTTCCGTCTTGTGATCAAACGCCTAACCTCAAGACCACTGAACCAGCCAGTATCCGACAGTGATAATGTCTAACTTTGAACAATCTAGGGATTTAGCTCGACCTCAACTAGCTGTATTCGGTAGTCACTACCTACATCTGACAGGGTTGGACTCCACTGATTACGTACCATACAGCAGGACGAACCGGCTGTCTTTCAGTGTTCCCAGGTTCCTAATGGTAGCGGTCTAACAATGATTGATTGATGATTTCAAATGTGTATATTATGATTGTTGTTCAACGAGGTTAGAGATTAAGTATTTTATGGTAAATTCATTATCGAAATCAATAATTTTATTATAACTATTCTGCTTGGAGCGCCCCACTGGAGCTACTGACGATCCCAAGCCCGGATAAAGGTGGAAGGTTGAGTATGATAGGGTTAGCAACCCGTAGAAAACTAACTCACTCAAAAAAACGCTAACCAGAAAAAAAACCCAATTCAAACCAGTTTCAATACCACAAAAAGACGTCACGAACTTTCTATTGCTATGCAATTTATTTTGACAGGACATCAAATTAACATTGAATGTCTTTTGTGTTGATAAGTAACACTTTCAGTCAGTAATTCTATGTAGTTTGAGACCTATTTCACTTGTTTTGATTTAAGCCATTGGATAGTAGTATAATTAACTTATCACCACACACACTTAGAGTCTGTACAAGTATTTGGAGAATAAATTGATTTCAGTTAAAGTTTTCTCATTTAAATAGAAGCCATTAAGCAAAGCAGTTTGAAACATATTTCATTTCCTTTAGGTTTAAGCATTATACACTTGTCTTTTTACACTTTGTGGATTGTGGGGCATAGTTTGATTCACACTTTATCGAGGTGCCCAAGGGATAATATTAACTTTTCATTATGACCTAACTTGAGTAGCCAGTTAAATATCGGGCACACATCCACTCTGACTATAAACCGTTGTAGATCAGACTAGTCCCCCCTCTCCATTTTGTAGTAAATATGGGCTACCTGATAGAGATGTACGTTAAAGATAAATAAGCCTAACTGAATCAACTCTAGGGTTGCCCATTAAATCTAGTGCAAACCAGAGTGATAGTCATAAACTATGCTGTAACCAGAGCACATGGATAGACACTAAACTTGTTTTTGGCATGAAAGTGAAGTACTCAATAGTTAACAAATGACTTTAAAATCAAACAATCCAAATAAAAGTAGTTCACTCGTTTCAAACTGTTATTTGGCTCTGGCCTGAGGGTAACAAAAACAAATCGCGTTCGTGCCTCAAGTGTACACTATGAGTCTCAGTCTATGCATTTTTCTGCATTCATGTAGCGCATACTTACAATGTCATCCTCATTTTTAAATGATGTACACATTCATTTCTTCCGGAACTTTCGGTTGTTACAAAATCTCTGGAAAGGGATATCCTTTGTGTAGTGGATACATAGAAGTAGATCATCAGCGTATCTATTTGTTTCATCAAGTATAGTATAAGGAAATAACCTGCCAAAGTGTTTGTTTGCTTTGCATTAACCAGTGTTCGAATCTCCCAAATTTTTAGTAAAGTAACTTTTCTTTCTTAAAAAGTCAGATCAGCTTTCTTATTTAAAATTGGATGGATGAACTAACTAACTAACTAACTAATTTCAATAGTGAAACAAAAGCAGAGTCCCTTTGTGAAGAAGCACTGGAAGTAAATGAAGTACACATTGTGGAAATGACCCAAATGTATCATCATGAAGCACATCCTAACTTAGAATCCTCAAAGTCAGAAGAAAAGTGATCGATCAAAGAATACTCAGCGTAGAGAATTGGAGGCAGACAATTAAAAGAATGAACAGCAGGTGATGACAACTAGAAAGGAGAGCTGAGAACAGAGTTGGTTGGGATCTTTACTCCACGAAGAGTTATACAAATGAGTAGTAATTAAGTACCTGTTAAGATTGATTATTTTTTTGTCAACTTGCAGTCTTGAATTTTATGCTTACCAGTAAATAAGTTGACTTTAAGCTACGCTTAATACAGTCGAAGATACATTATTACCCAACACCTGATCTCAGCACAATAGGAAACAGCCAGTCAGTCAGTCAGTTGGAACGTAGAATTTCGTACGTTGGTATGTACATAAGTTCAGTTGTCTACGCAAAATACTTCGGATTCGTTGGCCAGACACCATCAGCAACAACGTACTGCGGGAGAAAACAAACCAGATTCCAGTGGAGAAGGAAATCAGGAAGAAGTGGTGCAGTTGGTGGATAGGACACACACTACGAAAAGCACCTAACTGCGTCACAAGACAAGCCCCTTACTAGGAACCCTCAAGGCAAAATGAAGAGTCAGGCCAAGGAACACATTACTCCGAGAAATAGAGAAATATATGAGAATGAACAAACATTGGACAGAACTGGAGAGGGAAGCCCAGGACAGAGTTGGTTGGAGAAAACTGGTGGGCGGTCTATGCTCCATTGGGCGTAACAGGCGTAAGTAAGTAAGTAAGTAAGTAAGTTGTGCATAGTAGGAATCGAACATGCGGACACACACACATATATATATACATATATACATAGAAATTCACTTACGTGGATTTCGTTGATATGCTGCATAAAAATATTTTGTCGGTAAACAACCATCTTTATTGCCTTCACATAATATAACATTATTTTTTGATAAATAAAATTTATAACCATCCTTCATAGCTTTCATTAAATCAATGTAAATAATGATTTCAGCACTTGAACGCATTCCACTAATTACACCAGTTTCACCAACTTCCCCTGGTGCAAAATGTATATGAGTACGTTGCATACGTTTCAAACCTTCTTTACGTATAGAATCCCAATTACGAAAATAGGTACCATGAATTACAGTCGGGTAGTCTTCTGGGTTTTCAATTAATTTAATATCTAATCCTTCAATCTATAATTAATGATAAAATTATGGAAAGAGAGATGAAAAAAACAATGACACTACAATAGAATAATACTACTTGTACTACTCGTACTACTATTACTGCTCCTCCTACTACTACCACATCTACTACTACTACTCCGATTACTATTACAACTACTACTACTCACACTATTACTACTATTAATACTCCTCCTACTACACGCTCTACTACTCCTACTCCTACTGTGGTGTGTGCTACTTATACGAACGATATAAGTAGTAGTATAAGAAGGGACGTGAAAGAAGAAGAATTCGCACGGTCAGAAGAGGAAAACGGAAAGTAAATGGAGCAAAAGCAAGAAGTAAATGGAGTACCAACAGGAAGGAAAGGAAGCAACAACAGGAATGGAAGAAGGATGGAGCGTTGGAAGTCAGGACTCAAAGATGGTGTGCAAATAGAGTGTTCAATGTAATGTTTTCGTTTTTAATTGACTAAGAGTGTAAATTTGCATAATACAAACTTCTGCGCCTGCCTCAGTCTTCTCACTACTACTCATACTACTGCTACTACTTTTACTAATACCACTACTAATACTCACACTGCTGCTACTACTTGACAAATAAAAGAAAGAAATAGTTGGCATTCAAACTAAATTAAGCATGATTTATTATCAGCTGTTTAATTGAAGAGTGAGAAAAACTCTTCACATTGTTTGGATTGTATTAAGTCTCATCTCATGTGATTGGGCCTTGATGACAGGAAATTAGGTGTATGATATCTTGCTCTATCTTCTCTCTCTCTCTCCTCTATGGTGTTCTGTTTAATCAATAAAAGTATGAGAATATAGGGATTCAAGTAAAAGTGTCCACTAATATTACTATATATATATATATATATTTATATTACGCTTTTCACCCCTAATGGAGCATAGGCCGCCCACCAGTTTTCTCCAATCTACTTTGTCGTGGGCTTCTCTTTCCAGTTCTGTCCAATTTTTGTTCATTCTTCTCATATCTTCCTCTATTTCTCGGCGTAATGTGTTCCTTCGACTTCCTCTTTTCTTTTTACCTTGGGGGTTCAAAGTGAGAGCTTGTCGTGTGAAGCAGTTGAGTGCTTTCTGCAATGTGTTCCATCCACTCCCAGCGCTTCTTGATTTTATCCTCCGCTAGGATTTGATTTTTTCTCTCCCACAATAGGTTGTTGCTCCTGGTGTCTTGCCAAATGATCTGAAGTATTTTGCGTACACAACTGTTAATGAATACTTGTATCTTTTGGATGGTAGCTTTAGTAATTCTCCAAGTTTCCACCCCATACAGTAGAAATGTTTTGATATTTGAAATGAAAATCGTGACTTTGGTGTTAGTTGTTGTGAGTTCTAGATGTTCTTAAATTGTAGAAATGCAGCCCCCGCTTTGCCGATTCGCGCTCCTACATTTGCATCGGATCCAGCGTGCCCATCAATGATGCTGCCCAGATATGTAAAGGTGTTAAAGTCCTCCAAGGCTTCTCCATCAAGAGTGATTTGGTTGGTGCATGTTGTGTTGCATCGCTTTTCGCTCTATGTATGTTGAGACCAGCTGCTGCGACACACTGGTAGTCTTCTCTCACATTTGTTGCTGCATCCACCAATTATTCAAAATAATTCATTGCATTTTAACTTAAGAAGTCTTATATTTCCACATCAAGTAACGCATTACATCAACAATAAAATATCCAGTAAAAATCTGTGGATTGTTCAGAGTTAGACATTAATAGGTTAGGCGTTCGCGCTGAAGACCGAAGGTCGTGGGTTCGAAGCTTGCGAGGTGCAGGAAACCCGGATGCACACCTCTGATGTGTCCCCTATCAGGACGAAACAACCGTGTTTCAGTGCATCCAGGTTTCTAATGGTGGTCTAACAATGACTGAGGACTGAAAAATGCGTCTATCTATTCAAAAGTTTTGGCGATTGACCCAGTATCAAATAATCTTTATTTAAATCTGAAAACCTATTTTCAATGTACTGCTCTCCCAAGGAAATATCTATTTGAAATAGAACTCAGTTAGGATTATCGAATTATTAATGTCTTACATTCGAGCTTCTTAACTGCGTCACAAGACAAGCCCTCACTAGGAACCGTCAAGGCAAAAGGAAAAGAGGAAGACCAAGGAACACATTATAGGCCGAGAAATAGAGAAAGATATGAGAAGAATGAACAAAAATTGGACAGAATTAGAAATGGAAGCCCAGGACTGAGTTGGTTGGAGAAAACTGGTGGGCGACCTATGCTCCATTGGGGTAACAGGCGTAAGTAAGTACATTCGTGCTTGTATAAATTACTGATTATTGATCGATTGCATTCACTAACAAATAAAAGTATATGAGTGTATTCAGTAATCAGCTCAGTTTTCACGTTTACCTATACTCTCACCTCATCAATAACACTGAACATTGACTCCAATATGAAGAAAAATAACAAACTTTCAAGTTAGAAGTAAGCTTACTAAATATTTAACAATGAAATCTGTTATTCAACATTAGGGATTCTTTTATTTACATAATTACTTAGTACTTATCTTTTTCAAGGTCATTCTTTGCAAAAAAATAAATTAACACAAATTTGATTGGTTCATATGTATTGAAAACAAACTACGTTATATTATTGGACATTTGATAACCAATGAAATTGCTTATTTCATGCCAATGATAATAATGATAATAATAATAGTAATAATTACACAGTACAGTATTTGTAATTATTCATTTGAACGGCTATAAATAGACAATATGATTTCATATTTTAAATAATGAATCATTTCAAGTAGGTTGTCTTGTTTTGGATTTTTTTTTGTGTGCATGAAAAGAATTAACGATAACGATGAGTGAATTGAATAACAATTCGGTTAAAAATTAGTAGTAACAATAACAAATTCTACATAATAATCATAAAGAGATGTAGTTTAGACAAATTTGAAAAGTTTTCAGTCATTTTGAAATTATAAAATCAATCGATGTTAGATCATTATCATCATCATCATTAGAAACTCATAAATAGTGGATGGCCATTTCGTCTTGGTGTATGGGATTCGTCAGCAACGGCGTGTTCATGACTTCTACTACTCTTAGAATTTGAACCTGGAACCTACGGTTTTGAGAGCAAACACTTAACCTATGGATCATTGAGCCAGCCAGCATTAAACGGTGTTAATGTTTAACATCAATCAATCTACAGTCTTCGGGGTCATCACTGCTTCACACCTAGACAAGGTTGAACTCCACTGGTCATGATTTCTCACTAGAAACTCGGAAAAACTTCCTCATGGGGCTAGTCATTAGTGAACACATGATTATTTGCGTTATAGAGTTTTTAAGTTATTTTAAAATCATGAAATGCTGGAACTTAAAGAACTATACTTGATTAATTGAGTTGTATAAGTAAATAATAGGATATATAAGAGCATTTTGGAAGAATATTTTTTATTGCAGTGGTATTTCGTTTTCTGAGTTGCAAGTTTCAGTTGTGCAGCTCTCATTGTTCTTCTGCTGAACAACATTATCAGCGCAAACTTCAGATCAAGAAGTGAACTATTCGAATTTATCCACGCTTGATCCACAGCTTGTTCAGTGAACCTCGATCTAGATTGGTTGCTGTTGACCTTAAACATGTCGTTGTTTGTACACAGAACACTAAATAATTTTTAGGAACTCAGCACTCAGATCAATCAGCAATCAACAAACACATGGACATTGACCCAATTTATCAAGCAATCAGAACAATCATAGGCAAACATAGGATCAAGAAACACGGGTCAAAGGGGGGTTACAATCAAGACAAAGCTGCAAACAACCACAGGTTTAACGTCAATAACAACCAATCAAGATCGAGGTCAACTGAACAAGCTACGGGTCAAACGTGGAGAAATTTGAATACTTAACTTCTTGACCTGAAGTTTGTGCTGATGATGTTGTTCACGAAGAAGAACAATGAAAGTTCCACAACCAAAACATGCAGCTTAGAGAACCAAACAACACAACAATCATCCACCTGAGCTACAAATTTTTTCCACCATCTCATAAACGTACACCTTTGAAAGCTAACTCAGTGGTCTACAGGTTAAGCACTTATATCGAGAAATTTGAAGATCATGGGTTCAATTGCTGACGGGACAATGAGTGAACCGTGCTAAAGAATCTCATACTGTAGTGAAACAGTTGTCTAAGGGTCTTACTTACTGACTTGCGCCTGTTACCACCCAATGGAGCATAGGCCACCGACCAGTGTTCTCCAATCTACTCTGTCTTGGGCTTCCATTTCTAATTCTGTCCAATTTTTGTTCATTCTTCTCATATCTTTCTCTATTTCTCGGCGTAATGTGTTCCTTCGCCTTCCTCTTTTCCTTTTGCCTTGAGGGTTCCATGTGAGGGCTTGTCTCGTGACGCAGTTAGATGCTTTTCGTAGTGAGTGTCTTATCCACTTCCATCGCTTCTTCCTGATTTCCTCATCCTCTAGAATCTGGTTTGTCTTCTCCCACAATAAGTTGTTGCTGATCACGTCTTGCCAACGTATCCGAAGTATTTTGCGTAGACAACTGTTAATAAACACTTGTATCTTCTGGATGATGTTGGTTTTCGTAGTTCTCTAAGTTTCCGCTCCATACGGTATAACTGTCTTGACATTTGTATTGAAAATCCTAATTTTGGTTTTGGTTGAAAGTTGTTTGGAGTTCCAGATATTTTTCAACTGTAGAAATGCAGCCCTTGCTTTGCCAATCCGCGCCCTCAGATCTGCATCGGATCCAACTTGGTTGTCGATGATGCTTCCAAGATATGTAAATGTGCTAACGTCCTCCAAGGCATCTCCATCAAGAGTGATTTGGTTGGTGTATGTTGTGTTGCATCGAAGAATTTCGCTTTTTCCTTTATGTATGTTGAGACCTGCTGCTGTGTCTACGGGTTAAACGTTGAGAAATTCGAATAATTCATTTATCGACCTAAAGTTTGTGCTGATGTTTCGTTCTCTGAGCTGGATGTTTTGATTGAAAGCTTTCACAACCAACACATCTAGCTCAGACAACGACGAAATACCACCACAATCATAACCCTGAACTACAAATTTTTTTTAATGAAAACAAATCATAGAAAAAAAATTTAAAATCGAACAAGTATGTTTCGCTTTCAATTTCTGTATATCACATACTTAGGCGAACCTTGTTTGTGCAAGCGATGGAGGTGCAATGAGAAGCCAAATACCGATTCGATCGAATGAATTTATTTTAGGCAACTGTTCATAACGCAGACAGACATGAGACTGACATAAAAAGCATACACGCACAATGAAGTGAAGTTTAGAAGTAGCGAATAAACCAATGTCTACGTAATTGATGGCATGACTAAGTATTCATAGTCAGACAAAAATAAGAGCTAGACATACGACAATTGCAGTCAGTAGTAAGCGACACACACACTCGACTCAAAATAACCAGGATATATATAGTAACGAATAGTTAGTTAGCAAGGTCGAACAGAGGATGGATGAATGAATCCATAATTCAAGAAGAATGGATTGATTGAACTGTTCAAAGATTGAAACAAGCCTTGTAGGCTCGACATAAAAGGTTACGCGCACTACACAAAGTATATGGAAAAATCTACACTCTGATTGTCTTAATGTATACCTACCTACCTACATATCTATGTACTAAACAAATTAGCTAACATAATATATTATTGACTTAGTTAACAATTCGCACTGAATACTGTTACAAGGCGAATGAACTGACCAACACAAACACATAAAAAAATGTATATATTACCGCAATTTATATGCATACTGATCAACGGTGAAAACTTGTCAAATATTTAACCTGTAACTAAACACACATAGTGAACGTCAGTTAGTCAGTTAATCAGCAACTAAGTTGCCATACCACGCACGATAGCACATAGATGCAATTGTCAGTTCAAATTACATAATGATAGAGGTAGTAGAAGTATGAGCAGTAATTGTAAAGATTAGGGTTTGGTGATGCTATTCAAGAAACATAAGCCTGTGAAATAAATTTGAAAAGAGAAAGATAAAGGTGATGGAAGAACACAAAGAGTACATGCACCTACGCCATTGCAAACGATTTTATGAGTCATGTCGTTCAAGGTCTCTAACCATCAGTTACTATCTATCATCTAGCGGTCCCAAACTAGGTAGTCCACGCCTATCAACATGGTTCAGTCTACTTGTCAGTGACTCTTCATGGATTTGTGCCATGTTTTGATCTGATCGCACTCAGTTTTCTTCCAACCTACTCCTCCTACATCGAAAAACATTGCCTGTCAGGGCAGTCGGTGATTGGGCATATGTAACACATGTCCCAACCACGTCAACTGATGAAGATGCAGTACGCCGTCAATTGACTTGCCATTCTTATCTAGTACTCTTTTCCTAGCACTAGCATTGATTACTCGATTGTCCTAGGGTGTATGAGCACCTAAATGATGTTTAGAGTGTAGTTTCAGGAGACCAGGAATAACGTTCCCCGTATTCTAATCGTTTGCATTAGCGGCGTGAGGTGATAAAGGAACGTGATGTGTAGTGCCTCGACATTTATTTGCATTCGCTTACATTTAATTTGGTCAAGCCTTTCGATTAATTTATTCGACCAAGCCATTAACATAGCAACAATTTATATGTACCATTCGTTCTTATTATTGTCTGGTTTGTATGAGCTCACATGATGTGTCATTTAATCTTGTCAATCACTCGTCGCTTTTATTTATGCGTGCCTATTTCGCTTGTCACATTCCGTCTTATTTTTGTCTGACTATATATTTTTAGTCACGTTTTATTTCTTTGAGTTGGCTCTTAGCCTTCTCCAACGCGCTTCGCCTGTTCATTCGCTTCCTTCGCATTGTAATCCTAGGAGTTGGCTCATTAGCCATTTCTCCACGTCGCTTCATTCGTTCATTCTTTCGCACATTCGCTCGCCAGTGTGTACAAATGGTGATCCCGACGTCAACAAAATCGGCCACCATAAAGGATTTGTCATGTGGATAGGAGAATTATTAGGAGGTATAAAAGGATTTGATTGTGACCAACTTGGTCTCGTAACGAGTGTGAGGGCGGTTGTCACTTCTCGGCTACCCACACCATGTAAGGATGTTCCTTGAGGAACCTGAAAAAAAGCGTTGGTCTGAGCAACTTGGGAGCTTGTTTGTAGAGCTCGAAGGACAACTGATTGAGGCCAGTCAGCATGGCCTTTTTATTGGTAGATTTTGAAGTGCTAACTCCGTCCCTCAAATGGTCTTACCGCCGGAGACAGAAATCTGTGAGGTGAGGTGTGACATTTTTAGGGTCAACTTTTTCTGACTCCTCCTTTCCTTGTGAGAAGACAGCATCGCTGCATATACTGACTGTCCGAGAGGAACACCTTACCGCTGTCAGACCCCCCTACAGTTAGCAGTACAACTTCGCCCCAAGACCTTGAGTTGCTGCTTTTAGTCTTACCGTTCTCCAATCGGCCGGCCTGGAATAGTAGAACCTACAGGAACACATATTCCAGCCGATTTAGGTCGGTTAGGTCATCACGATAGGCAAACCCGACCACCAATGTCAAGGTAGCAGCTATGGTCGGGTTATAATGAACCTATGTCTTGATGATAAGTACCAGCTAGTACAAAACCAGGAATCTAAGGTTTCTTACCAACAACCTCTTCCTCTACCTAACAAATACAATACAATAACAATTAAATACGTTTATGCTAAACGGTAAACTGTTTCATCGACATTTATCTTCCAAATTGGGAAACAGAACTCATAATATATACATTTATTAGACTTGATATTAATAAGATAGTATTTCTCGATCCTCGCTCTCGTTTTTCCGACTAGATAAACTCGTAATAGTTCAAGTATATCAAGTTGACGTGTTTACGTGCAGGCGTAACAAGTATGTAAAGTTTCATTGAAGAGTGACAAATATTATAATACACTGAGCGCCGAAACAATGACACATCATCATGCATGTACGTACTTTAAAATTAAGTGTTTGAATAGCACTTAACTGGTTAAATCAAATGACATTCAGAAAATATATAGTTTAAACTCTATCTGCAACTCTTCTACGATTAGTACAGGTGGTTTCAGGCCCAGGAAAAGGAGTAAGGTTAAGCATGGAGTTAGCAAACCTATCCTGTAAAATTGTTAAACAAAAATGCTAACCAGTCATGTCAATCGATAATTGATTCTCGATGTTAAGCTAATTTCTAACTAGAATTAAAGGATACAGCCTCAATTATGTCTCTAATGTCAAGGAATAAAATGACGGGGAAGGAATAAATGGCGGGGAAAAAAAATCGGAGGCGGAGAAAGTATGAATGAGATACATATAGACATTCACTTACTGTAACAGTATGACCTTGATAAGCTCTTATTCTTAATCGACCATTTTCTGGATCTGTTGATAGTTCATAGCGTTTTTTATCATTTGAATTGACAACACGTGAAATATCTTCAAGTTTAACTCCTTGAAATGGTTTCAATTGAAGTATTTTATCGACATAAAGGTAACCACCTGTAGAAAGTAGACGAAAAACGAGAAAAGTAAACACTGCTACAAACAAATCCATCACAATACACTTGAAGTAAACTGTGGATGTTTTTGGTTGTGGAGCTTTTATTTATTGTTCTTCACGAACAATACATCATCAGCACAAACTTCAAGTCAAGAAGTGAAGTATTCATGGAGAAATTTGAATACTTTACTTTTTGATCAGCTCAGAGAACGAAACTCTGTCACAATCATCCTTTTGAGCTACAAATTTTCCTACAGGAAGAATCATAATTAGATGATATTAAATAGCTTTACAAAAACAGTACAAAACAGTTCTAGTGTATGGGGTGGAAACTTGTTTGAACTACGAAAACCAACATCATCCAGAAGATACAAGTATTCCTTAATAGTTATTATCTACGCAGATTACTTCGGATTCGTTGGCCAGACAGCATCAATAACAACGTACTGTGGGACAGAAAAAAAACCAGATTCTAGCGGAGGAGGAAATCAGGAAGAAGCTCTGGAAGTGGATAGGAGACACACCGAGGAAGTCACCCATCTGAGTCACAAGATAAGTCCTCACCTGGAGTCCCCAAGGCCAATGAATACATTACACCAAATAATGTAGAAAGAAATGAGAAGAATGAACTACGATTGGATAGAACTAGAAAGGAAGGTCCAAGACAGAGTAAGCTAGAGAATGCTGGTCAGCAGCCTATGCTCCCTTGGGCGTAACAGATGTAAGTAAAAAAAAACAGCTTTAAACATATAAAGGAAACAATTGTTTTTGCTAGAGGAGTTAAAGCACCTAACTTCGATCATAGGTTTAAACCCGGATTCACCTAATGTCATAGCAACCACTAAATAGTAGTCTAAAATAGATTTACAAAAAGTATTGTATTGTACGGTTACCCTAATCGACTTCAGCAATTGTATTCTGAATCGATATATTATATTGTAGTGCCTCCACATTTATTTGCATTCGCTTACATTTAATTTGGTCAAGCCTTTCGATCGACTTATGTAACCAAGCTATTTGTATAGCAACAACCCATATGTACCATTGGTATTTTTTATTGTCTGGTTTGTATGAGCTTGTACGACCACTGAGTATTGCTTACGCTTATGCGCATATTCATCCGATTCGCTTTAATGTTAATCTCTTAAATACCTTGATGACTCAGATATCTTCCTATGTATATATACGAACAGGCTCGCTAGCGTGCCTGCCCGGTCTGCTTATAGTCTGCTATCCCTAACTGTGGTGCGTCCAAAAATAAACGTATTCAACACTTCGAGTTTATCTTGTGATTTATAAATCATTAGACGCTATTTAGTAAAGGATTGTATGGACGAGCTAATTACGAAGATTGAGAACACGTAGAAATCGGCCACCAAAATATGAAAATAAGTATTGTTTACAGTCAGTCAGTACGTACGTACATCAGTTCAGGTTGCCATAGCACATTAGTACAGAGACAACACAATTGTCAATTCAAATCCCATAGTGGTAGAGATAGTAGAACTATTAGAGGTAATGGATAAGATTAGGGTCCGAAGAAATCATTAGAGAAGTACAATTCAGTGAGGTAAATCTAGAAAGAGAAAGATAGAGGTGATGAGGAATTCAGAAGATTAGAATTTGAAAGAACACAAAGAGTGGATACTCCTGCTTCATCGCAAATGATTTTGAACCATGTCATATTCAAAGTCTCTAACCATCGGTTAGTATCGTCTCACGGACCGCAACCAGGTAGTCTACACTTAACAACATGACTTAGTTCACTTGTATTGGTTACGCCTATTTTAAACAAACATTATGATGTAGCCGTTCAATTTGTTGTAAAGTATACGTACTGTGATATTTCCATTCTGCAATGGTATATATAAAGGGTATAAGTGATATTATATTGATAACTTTGTAAAAAATTGTTTTTATAGTTAAACAATCATATTCACAGTTTAAATCACTAACGTGGAAGATTTTGGAGGACCTATGACTACATAACTGGGAGTTGAACCCAAGAATTTATGTCTCACGCGTGGAAGCTTAACCATTGAGCCAGAATTTATCGGTGTTAATATCTAACTTCAGTCAGACAGACAGATAACGCAGAACTGAGGTCTGAGGGTGAAGTTGTACTGCTGACTGCAGAGGGATGTGACAGCAGTAAGGTGTTTCCATCGGACAACCAGCATCTGCAGTGATGCTACCTTCTCACAAGGAAGGAAGGGTTAGAAAAGCTAGACCCTAAAAATGTCACACCTCAACCTACCTCACGGATTTCCGTCTCCGTAGGTAAGGGTGCCCACAAAGGGCCTTTAAGAGCGGAGCTAATATTCAAAAAACCTTTGATAAAAAGGCCATGCGTGACCGGCCTCAAGCAGTTGTCCCTTGGACTCTGCGGTCACGCTCTCAGGTCTTCAAGACCAACACTAATCTATCTTCCTTTTCAGGTCCCTCAAGAAACACCCTTCCACGGTGTGGGCAGCCGGGAAGTGACAACCGCCCTCATACCCATAACAGCACACGAGACCAAATCGGTCAAAATCAAATCCTTCCTACACCTCCTAATATCTCTAACTTCAGTCAATTCACGATACCTTGCAAACCTTATCTAGCATTTGTTATTTGATCAAGGGTACACTCATAGAAACATTATTTTCGTTGAATAGTTTAGCTTAAAGTATACTTCTTACATAATATCTGCGGAAACCAACTTCTACTACCTCTACTGCTATGGGATTTGAATCGACAATTCGGTCTCTCTATGCTAATGTGGTATGGCAACCTGAACTGATGTACGTACGTACGTACGTACAAAGTTCTACGTTGTAACTGACTGATTGACTGACTGACTGACTTAAAGTATACCAACTTGACTAATCAATTAAACTTAAGATGGCGTCTGTGTTGAACTTGAGCGCAAAATTTAAAACATAACGAGTTATTATTCAATTGTCACAAAGTTTAAAAACTGATCAATATGTAAAAAAAGCCTAAATAATGAAAATGACAATTTACAAAATACCAGAAAAAAAAACAACTTCAAGTTTTTTTTGATATTTAAAGTAATCATCTGCGTATACAAAATGAGGCTACAGAATGGTTCTTCTGTTTTCACTTCATCACGTTAACTGCTAATGTTGTATTTAATATTTCTGACCTTCAACTTTGGCTTAAAAGTTTGTAGATGGTTTTCAGGTTTTTATTGATGTAATAAATTATTTATTTATGTAAACTACACTCTGATAACATTATGGGGTTATGAAGATTGTTGAGTTACTTATTGAAATCATGAACCGATCAATATTAGACCACATCATTAGAAACCTGGAAGTAATGAAAGATGGCTGTTTCGTCTTGGTGTGGGACGACTCATCAGTGAAAGTGAGCATCCAGGACTGCTTCAACTTGCAGGATTCAAAACTAGAACTTTCGGTCGTGCGCGCGAACGCCTAACCTCTGGACCATTGATCCGGTATCTACCGGTGCCTATGTCTAACTTCGATCAATTCACGGTCTTGCGAAACTTCATACACTGTCGTCGGTAGTTACTGTCTACATCCGAATAGGGTTAGACTCTATTGGTCACGACTACTTACTAGAACTCGGAGAAGATTCCTCACGGAGCTAGTCACTAGTGAGCACAGGTAATTGGATTATAGGGTTGTGAAGATTGTTAAGTTACACATTTGAAATCATGAATCGATCAATGTTAGACAACCATTAGAAACCGAAGGGTTCGAAACGTTTGCGAGGTGCAGGAGTTGTGGATGCGTACTACTGATGAGTAGTCCCATACCAGGACGAAACGGTCATCTAGTACATTCTGATTGGCTGAAAAAAGTGACTTTACTTTCTTTAGAAAAAAATGACCTCAACAATCACTGAATAATATCTTCTTCACACTATAGTCTATTTTAATCATGAAATTTATTTAAGTAGAGGTTTTAACAATCAATTCACAATAAGTAGATTATTTTCAAAAATTCAGTCACTTTTATATATTTGCATGTTTAAGTTATTTCATTCAATATTTTCCTACGAAGTTCAACTTTAAGAAGTGTAGGCAGTAACTACCAAAGAGAAATGGGTGCGGCCATGCAAAATCTCTAGATTAATCAAAGTTAGACATTAACAGCGTTAGATACCGACTCAGTAGTCCAGGGGTTAGGTGTAGAAAGGATTTGATTGTGACCGATTCGCTCTCGTGTGCTTTTATGGGTATGAGGGCGGTCGTCAATTCCCGGATGCTCACAATGTGGAAGGTTGTTTCTTGAGGAACCTGAAAAAGAAAGTAGATTAGCGCTCGTTTTAACGACCTGGGAGCGTGACTGCAGAGTCCAAGGAACAACTGCTTGAGGCCGGTCACGCACAGCCTTTTTATGAGAGGTTTTTTGAGTGTGAGCTCCGCTCTTGAAAGCCCTTAGGGGGCACCCTTACCGACGAAGGCGGAAGGTGAGGTGTGACATTTTTAGGGTCTAGCTTTCCTAACCCATCCCTCCTTGTGAGAAAGCAGCAGTTTCGCTGCAGATGCTGATTGTCCGATGGAAACACCTTACTGCTGTCACACCCCTCTACAGTCAGCAGTACGACTTCGCAATCAGACTTTGAGTAGCTGCTTCCAGTCTCATCGTTCTCCAATCGACCTGCCTGGCATGGTAGAACCTTCAGGAACATATGTTCTAGCCAATATAGCTCGGTTAGGTCATCACGATAGGCAAGGTAGGGCCAAGGATTGGGAGTTTGCACGCAAGACCAACGGTTCGAACCGTCTGCGACGTGCAGGAGTTATGGGTATGCACCCATACACCAAGACGAAACGTCCGTCTTTCAGTGTTTTCAGACATCTAATTCTATAGTCTAACAATGATTGATTGATAGACTGAAGATTTGAATGTGAATAGAGTAAAACAAAAAAGAAGAGTCAAATGAACCGGGAGAAAAAGAGAAAAACACATACACATACATACAAACATATACATACCAGGTTGATATTGCATACCAACATTCTCTGCTCCATGACGTAGAATCCAAGCTAATTTTTTTGATAAAATTACATCAGGATCTTTCTAGAAAAAAAGGAGAGAAAAATGGTATTGTAGTGCTTCCACCACAAATATCCCAGTTCTCTTACACGTAACATGGTTAAGCCCTTTCGATTAATTTATTTAACCAAGCCGTTTGTATTGTAACAATTTATATGTACCATTCGTTCTTATTATTGTCCGGTTTGTGTATGAGTTCACATGATGTGTCCCACTTGTCATTTGATCTTGTCAATCATTCGTCGCTTATATTCACATGTTGTGCATGTCTATCTCGTTGATTACATGTCTGTCTTATTTTTGTCTGACTATATATTCTTAGTCATGCTCTATCTCTCAATGTCAGCAATATAGATCGTGCTATTATTGTTATTATTGCTATTATTATTATCATTATCATTATCATCAACAACCATACGTACATTTAATTCCGGTGGTTTCAAACGAACTTTTGATCCTCTTACACTAAATCGTAATAATGAATCCATATGTACAATATCAATTATTTCATCATATGTACAATGTTCATTTTTAAATTCAGGTAATTGAATAATTTCATCAATTAGAAAATAACCATCTACAATAAAAAAGGGAAAGAAAAGTATGAGAGAGAAATGAACAGAGAAAGGAAAAAACTTAAACATTCTATTTATACATTAAAATGAAATCAATATAATGGATAGAATTGTTATACAACACTACTAAAGAACTGCTCGATAACACAGTATGAACGAGTTTAGAATTCAAGGAGTAGGAAGTGAAGTAGTTGAGCAAGTAGACTGATTCATTTATCTTGGAGAGTATCATCATTGCTGATAGCTTGCTTGGTGTGTGACGAAATCTCAGCATGGATACATAAGGCTTGATTGACTTTTGCCAATTATATGTCACTTTTGGTGTAGGTGAGACTATCCGTTTGTTGACTAAAGGACGAGTGTACTGTGAAGTAGTTCACTCCGTCCTACTTAATGACTGTGAAATATGGCCAATCAGAGTAGAAGATATTCGTAGGTTGTTGATTTTTGATAATAGGTGTCTCCGTAGCATTGCTTGTGTATCGTGGGACAACCGGCTAAGCAATGCTGTCGTTAGGAAACGGGTTGTAAGTACGGATGGCAGGTCAATAAATGAGGTATTGAAACTTCATCAGTTTAGATGTTTGGTACATGTGTTGCGTATGCCTAACCACCGACTGCCTTGTCGAGCTATGTTCTGAGATGTAGGAATAGGTTAGAAGAAAGTTAGGGGCAGCTAGACCAAAAAATGGCGCAAATCCATGAAGAGTCACTGACAAATGGACTGATTCATGTTGATAGGTGTAAACTACCAGGTTAGGGCCCGCGAGATGATAGTAATCGATGGTTAGAGACCTTGAATAACATGGCTAAAAACCGTTTGCAATGGCGTAGGTGTATTTATTCTTTACGTTCCCTCAAATCTTAACCTTCTTAATTTCTCATAACCTTTATTTTTCTCTTCTTAAGTTTATTTCACTAGATTCTACTTCTTGAATAATATCTTCGAACCCTAATCTTCTCCGATTACTGCTAATACTTTTACTACTTTTACTACTATGGGAATTGAATAGACAAATGCATCTCTGTACTCATGTTTTTTGGCAACTTGTACTGATGTACGTACGCACGAAGTTCTACGTTGCTGTTGATTAATTGAAGAAATATAGTAAACATCAACTTGAAATTATGGAGAATCCGCACAAAAAAATTAATTTCATTAATGATACACATGTAGTCCCCAAAATATCAATTCATCATGTAATAAAAATATAAGATTGTGAAAAGACAGAAATAAGTGTGAGAGTGAAATAATATTGATTATAGTGAGAAGAAACAGTTCAGTTAAGGAAGTTCTTCTTATGTGAAAAAAGTAACAACAACACAGGCCATTGGCTTCTTTTCTGAGCCGTATCTGAAAAAGTCTCATCATATCTAGAACTGTAACTAGGGAGTCACGAAGGACTGATAGATGTCAATCTTGTGAAGTTTTTCTTCATATCGCAATACAATAATCATACATTAACCAAATCTTGGCTTTCTCCAATCAGTCCTAGCATTGGCAAATAATTCACGATGTGGAATTCTCTGAGACGACATGTTACCGAACCTCCACATTAATAGATTGGTGTTGTCACTGAATGTGAGCAATCCTTCAGAGATGACGATCATTGAACACAGAAAGTCGTTTAACATCATCAACTAAGTGGCCATGTTTTACAAGCATAGACCACATTTTTAGACCAAACTTTTTAGAGCCAGATTGACAACATAAAGAAGCCAAAGATGGTCTAGGAATAGAATAAGCCATTCTCGCATTCACTATAATTAAATTGATCTCATCACTTACGCTACCACCAAAACTTACTCGGATACTCAGATACATAAAATTTTTGGCTACTTTTATCTATAAGAAAAACAGATTCAGCTTGAAAATATGTAGTTTAGAAAGTAATCCAATGTGTATTTTTTTTGGTTAGCCAAAAGAAATCAAAATAAAATTAAACAAACACAGAAACAATTATGATGATGATTGTTAGTCAGTGTTTGTTGTCATAACAACTTGAGATCAATGTCAAAATATCAACCAAAAAATGACCTGAACGTAAGTAATTATATTTGAAATCATACAAATGGCAACTCAATCAATTTGTTGTTGCGTTTTTTTCTAGGCTAAGCAATTATGATTGATAACAAAAAACTTGCGAAAAAAGTTAACAAATGAAGTAATAAATTTTTTCAATTTTTTAATTAATGAACAATAAGTTGGCTACACTGGTCGCAGCAGCAGCAGGTCTCAAAATACATAAAGGAAAAAGTAAAATTCTCAGATGCAACACAACATACACCAACCAAATCACTCTTGATGGAGATGCTGCCTTGGAGGACATTAACACCTTTACATATCTGGGCAGCATCATCGACGAGAAAGGTGGATCCGATGCAGATATGAGGGCGTGGATTGGCAAAGCAAGGGCTGCATTTCTACAGTTGAAAAATATATGGAACTCCAAACAACTTTCAACCAAAACCAAAATCAGGATTTTCAATATAAATGTCAAAACAGTTCTACTACTGTATAGAGCAGAAACTTGGAGAACTACCAAAGCCATCATCCAGAAGATACGAGTGTTTATTGTCTATGTAAAATACTTCGGATTCGTTGGCCGGACACCATCAGCAACAACTTACTGTGTGGGAGAGAACAAACCAGATTCCAGTGGAGGAGGAAATCAGGAAGAAGCGGTGGAAGTGGATAGGACACACACTACGAAAACCACCTGATTGCGTCACGAGACAAGCCCTTGAATGGAACCCTCAAGGCAAAAGGAAAAGAGGAAGGCCAAGGAACAGATTACACCGAGAAATAGAGAGGAATGAACAAACATTGGACAGAACTGGAAAGAGAAGCTCAGGACAGAGTTGGTTGGAGAAAACTGGTGGGCGGCCTATGCTCGATTGGGGGTAACAGGCGTAGTAAGTAACTTGGCTAACAATCAACTCAGTATTCAAAAAAATCAATCAGTCACTTCACTTAGTCAGTTCAAGTTACCGTAGCACACATTAACACAGAGATGTAATTGTCAATTCAAATACCCCATAGCAGTTGATGTAGTAAAAGTGTTAGCAGTAATCGAAAAGATTAGGGTTCGAAGACATTATTCAAAAAGTATAAGCCAGTGGGATAAATATGGAATGAGAAAGATAAAGGTGATGAGGAATTCAGAAGATTAGAATTTGAGAGAAGACAAACAGTGGATGCACCTGCCACATTACAAACGATGTTGAGCCATGTCATATTCATTGTCACTCACTATTCAACAAACAATATTCAGATGAATAGGAAATTGGTTTATTTTTGTCGGAAATCATTTTTTTAAGAGTCGCCAACCCTTCCGCATTACAATCGCACGTTGGTCAGCTAGCTCCCTCCCGCACGAAGACCCTACGTATCGAAAGTGTAAACCCTTTCTAGCGGGGGGGGGGTGTTGTAGTGGAACACTTCTACGAACAAAACGCGATTGGTCAAAAATAAACATTTATTATTGTATTCGTTTTGTTTAACTGTACCAAAAACAATTACTTGCGCGTAACGTTCTTTTACGCGTTGCTGTCATCTTTCATAACTTACTGATCTATGTAACGCCTACTTTTCCCTTCAAATAAATATTCAACCCTGGATTTATTTCTACAGTTTGTGACGGGATAGTAATGGTGGTGATCATAGTCAATCTGGACTCGGTCACCACTAAAATATCATAATCAATATGTGATGTGAAACGAAAAAGATGTTGTTCAGTCGATAAATAAAGTAAGAATAATCCAAGTTATCTTTGAGATAGAATAAATCACTGAATAATTCACTGCATATATATATGTATCAGTCAAATTCGTAACTCTACCTGGAGCCCCTATAAAGCTACTGCCAGTCCCAAGCCAGGATAAGGGAGCAGAGTTGGGCGTCGAGTTAGCGAACCCTTCTAGTGGGAAACGTACTCGCTGAAAAAACGCTAACTAGAAAACATAATTCAAACCATCTGAACTCCGCCATGGGAGTTGGAAGGTATTTATTTGAGAGAATTATGACACCTCGTGATGAAAGCATAGTTTCTTCGGAAGTCACGAGGCTGATGTCCCTTCTGACAACCGGAGCAACCATTATTTTAGGTACATGGTATGTTCGTACAATGTAGAAGGAGACCAGGAGACACAGATAGATACAACGATAGCGTTGCTTATACGGTTGAGGTTCACGAGATCATGCTCACCGATGGTTAGAGACCTTCAATATGATATGGCTCAAAATTGTATTCATTTTTGAAACCATGAATCGATCAATGTTATTAGACCACCATTAGAAACCTGGAAGCACTGGATGGACGTTTTGTCCTGGTATGGGACTCATCAGAGGCAGTGAGCATCCACGACTCCTGCACCTCGCAGGATTCGAAACCAGGACCTTCGGTAATGTGCGCGAACGCCTAACAATCGGACCACTGGGCCATATGCAATGGTGCAGGTGCATTCATCCTTTATCTTCTCTCAAATTCTAATCTTCTGAATTCCTCATCTCTTTTATCTTTCTCTTTTTAAAATGTATTTCATTGAATTATACTTCTTGAATAATTAATATCTTCGAACCTTAATCTTTCCGATCACCGCTAATACTTCTCCTATTTCTATCACTATGGAAATTTAAACTGACAATTGCATTTTTGTGCTAATGTGTGGTAAGACAACATAAACTGTTGTAAGTAATAAGTACGACGTTGTACATTATAAATCTACATTTATATTATTACAAGTTGAAATTGTTGATGTTAAATCAAACTTCTAGCGTATTATTTATACTAAGGAAGAATCTGGCGCTCTTAATACAAATAATATTTATTACTGAAATTCAGAATCAATCGTTGTTAGAAACCTGGAAGCACTGGACGGCCGTTTTGTCCTGGTATGGGACTTATCAGAGGCAGTGCGCATCCACGACTCCTGGACCTCGCCAGACCAGTGGTCCAATGGTTAGGCATTCTCGAATCCTGCGAGATGCAGGAGTCGTGGATGCGCACTGCCTCTGATGAGTCCCATACCAGGACAAAACGGCCATCCAGTGCTTCTAGGTTTCTAATGGTGTTCTAACAATGATTGGTTGGTGATTTCAAATGTGTAAAAACATTCAATAGGTATTGCATTCTAGTATAGAGTTTTGTAAATAATATACGTGTATATTATTGATTATAACCAATTTGGTCTCGTGTGTTATTATGGACGGGGATGATACTTCATGACTGCCTACACAGCTTGGAAGGGCTCTTAACTGTCAGTCAGCCAGTCAGCTGCAACGTGGAACTACGTACGTATGTACATAAGTTCATGTTGCCATACCACATTAGCACAGAGACGCAAATGTCAAATCAAATCCCATAGTAATAAAGATAGAAGAGGTATTAATGGTAATGAAGAAGACTATGGTTCGAAGATATTATTCAAGAAGTATAATTCAATGAAATAAGGTTAGAAAGACAAAGGTAAAGGTGCTGACGAATCCAGAAGATTAGGATTCGAGAGAGCTCAAAGAGTGGATGCACCTGCGCCATTGCAAACGATTTTGAGCTATGTCGTTCAAGGTCTCTAACCATTGGTGACTTTCGTCTCGCGGACCTCAACCAGGTAGTCTACATCTACCAACATGAATCAGTCCACTACTCAGTGACTTCATGGATTTGTGCCATGTTTTGGTCTGGCCACCCCTAACTTTCTTCCAACCTACTCCTACACCACAAAACATAGCTCGTCGAGGCAGTCGGTGGTTAGGCATACGTAACACATGTCCCAACCACCTCAACTGATGAAGTTTCACTACTTCATCTATTGATCTGCCATCGTTACCTAGTACTCGTTTCCTAACTACAGCATTGCTTACTCGGTTGTCCCACGATATACGAGCAATGCTTCTTAAACATCTATGATCGAATACTAGTAACCTACGAACATCTTCTACTCTTAACGGCCATGTTTCACAGTCAGATAGGAGAACGGACTTAACTGTCAGAAGGGGCGACATCGACCTTATGATTTTCAAAGCGCAATTCGATTTTCATCAGCATCATCATCATCAGATGTCATATAACTAACTCTTCTAAATAGAAGACTTTCTAATTCACCGAGTAAAATTTAAATAGTAACAAAAATCTCACAATCAACAACACCAACGCAACTGAATAGTGTCATTAATTAGTAATAAAGTTTATCAATTTCACCTTAATAAACTTTCAATTCAAGTAAATTTTTTATGAATGATAAATTTTTCATACCTGGTAATTCAGTAAATTTAAAATTATGTTGTAATTTTCCTTTTAAAAATTGTTCTAATAAATTCCCGATAATTTCATATCGACCAAATGATTTACGCTGTTAATTATAAACAATAGAAGAAAACAAATCATTATTAGGCAAAGGATTTTGAATAAATAGTTAATACACATTAGACAAACGCACTAAGGTTATGTTAAATAAACATTGGTTAGCGCATTGTCCTATGGTTAAAAAGTGCATAAGAGCATAGTGCAATCAACAACGCAGGTCATTTCAGACAAATAAGTCGAAATGTACAAACAAGCCGCCACAACAACAACAAATGGCCATTGAATTAGCTGTTACTGATGTTAGTAATAATAATAATAATAATTATTATTATTATCATAAATAGCCTGTGTCATTCTGATTTTTAATGGTGTTATAATTCTCTCTTAATAGAACTCAGTTATTCCTCAGTTCTGACCGCAATACACTCAACACATCCCAACATTCGAACATGATTGAACAGGAAAATAGAGATTATTATATTCCAAAAAGCAAGGTTAGGTGCGGGGGGGGGAGCAGTTAAGAAGCCGAAGTGAAGGCGAAATAAGCTTCTGGAATGTACTCTTCAAGTATTATTGACCAGGTGCTGTGATTAGATAAGAATTAGCCAATCAACGCTCAGCTAGCGCAATCATACTTTATTCCCATCTATGTTCAGCTAACACATAATGGGATGTATATTCAATTAGAATATTGTGGTTAAAATGAGTGATTGAATTTGATTCTTGAGCAGTACACCACACACACACACACACACAAATACACACATACTCAGTGACTAGATGATGTGAACTAGTGAAATAATTTATCACCAATATTAGAGAATCTGCATAAGTCACACATACAATCACACACACACACACACACACACGATGAGTATGGAGTGAAAATCAATAGAACGCAAATGAAATTGCATGTATATATATGTTCAATAGTCAACAGGCTGTACCTGTTTGTCCATACTCAATGACCAACTATAATAATTTCTCGCATTATACGTGACACACATAAAAATTCAACTCATTGAACAGGTAAGATCCTGTACTTTGATCCCATAGCTTAAATTAAATATTAAGGATCACTGATATTATTTGGTTGTTTAGGTGTAAATAAGTTGGGAAGGGGGGGAGAGTTTGGACGTATAATTTAATGGTTAGCTGTAAGACAAATCATACATTAGCTACTGATGAGTCCCATACCAGGACGAAACGGCCGTCCAGTGCTTCCAGGTTTCTAATGCTGGTCTAACAATGATTGATTGACGACTTCAAATGTGTAAAAACGCAAACCTCCAAAACTGTGCCCCAAAATATCGTAACAGTGCTCACTTGTGACTAGCTTCGTGAGGAAATTCTCGGAGTTCTAGTTGAGAATACGTGACCAATGGAGTTCAACCCTGTCGGGTGTAGGCAGTAACTACCGAAGACAAATGGGTGAGGTCGCGCAAAATCCCTAGATCAATCACAGTTAGACATTAACACCGTTAGATGCCGGCCCAGTGGTCCGATGGTAAGGCGTTCGCCTTCAATGCCAAAGGTCCCGGGTTCGAATCCTGCGAGGGGCAGGAGTCGTGGGTGCGCACTGCTGATGAGTCCCATACCAGGAAGAAACGGCCTTCCAGTGCTTGTGGGTTTCTAATGGTGGTCTAACAATGATTGATTGATTATTTCAAATGTGTAAATCAATTAAGTTTATCTACCAAATTTTTTTGTTTTGAAGAGGATTTTGCACTACAAATTGAGAATCTAGTCGGTTAGTCAGTTACAACGTAGGTATTTGTACGTAAGTACACACATAAGTTCAGGTTGCCATACCGCATTAGCACAGAGATGAAATTGTCAATTCAAATCCTATAATAGTAGAGATAGTAGAAGTATTACTGGTAATGGAGAAGATTAGGATTTGAAGATATTATTCAAGAAGTATAATTCAGTGAGATAAGTTTGGAACGACAAAGGTAGAGGTGTTGAAGAACTGAGAAGATTAGGATTTGAGAGAAGAGAAATAGTAGATGCATCTGCGCCATTCCAAACGATTTTGAGCCATGTCATTCAAGGTCTCTAACCATCGGTTAGTATCGTCTCGTGGACGGCAACCAGGTAGTCAACATTTACGAACATGACTCAATCCACTAATCAGTGACTTCATGGATTCCTGCCGTTTTGGTCTGGCCGCCCCTAACTTTCTTCCAGCCTAAACCTACACCACTAAACATTGCTCGTCGAGGCAGTAACAGCACACGAGTTCAAATTGGTCACAAACAAATTGAGAGTTAGGGATTGTAGGAGTACAATTACAACATTACATTACCTAATATTTCTAATAATTAAATGCTTGGTAGTGATTTCCGAACCGCTTCATAGTGGTTCGACAATCCCTATAATCGATTAATCAAGAAGTATGGAGGGAAGCTTTGCCTCTACGATTAGTTCAAGTACAGAAAACAAAGACATTTGTTGGCTTGTGTGATCTTGATACCATAGAAGCTTCTAGAAGCATGTTAATGTTACTTCTACTGATAAAATCGGTAATTAACGACTCAACATATGTGATAGATACACAATCCATCATTTATCAAGAACACTGAGAAGTTTTCACTAAATGCCTAACTAGACGAAGTATTTCCTGTGTTTGACCAGCTCCTGTGAATTTTTATCAAGGTATTCTTGGTAAGTTCATAACACTATCTAACAGCTCATGCCAAATTTCTTACTAGGAATCAACCATAAATGGTTTAATTTATTATCTTGCTGTTATCAACACAAGAGTTCATTAGTTTAAATATTCACTTCAGGAAGCATGACAGACAGATATATGTCAGACTAATATTCATGAACAATTAAAATTAGTAAGCTGTTCAATATTTCTAACTAGGATTTATTTTCACAATGAAAGAATCTTTTATTATATTTATTTATTTGAAAACATCCGAAGTAAAAAGATCTTAACACTTCAAACAACCTCCTGTTTTTTTAGTTCAAACATTTCATGAATAGAAAGATTAAATTTAAGCAGCCATTTATAATTGGATATATAAGTATATTTACAATATTCTAGGAAAGTGTAATTAACCACATATCAATATATCACTGGTTTTCTTTTAATCTTTATAGAGAATAAGCTAATTAGGGATTGCCAAACAATTCTATTCTGTACTCTCTATTTTAATTTTTATCGAGTGATATAATTCAAGTATTGGATTATTGCTTGCAAATTACAGCGTCATGTGACCTTACTTTATGAGATGTAGGCTGGAAGAAACGGATGAGTGGTAAAGCCAAAATATGGTATCAATTTATGAAGTCATTCACCATTGGACTGATTCATATTATAGTAGGTGTAGACTACTTTGGGGTTTAGGACTGTGAAACAATCGTCATACACTGTAAATAACATGGCTCAAAATCGTTTACAGCGGCGCAGATGCATCCATTTTTTGTCTTTTCTCAAATTTTAGTCAAATGAATATCTTCATGACAGTTTACTTCTTTTGTTGATAGTCTTTGGCAAGCAAACCTAGAGTTATTTGTGTAGATAGTTGTTTATAAATGAATAATGATGACGGTTGTCAGTCAGATGCAACGTAGAACTTCGTACTTACATAAGTACATTAGTTCATGTTGTCATACCACATCAGCACAGAGAAGTAATTGTCAATTCAAATCCAATAGTAGTAGAGGTAGTAAAGGTGTTGGAAGTAATCGGAGGGGTTAGGATTAGAAGATATTATTCAAGAAGTATAATTCAGTGAGATAAGTTTAGAAAGACAAAACTAGAGGTGTTGAATAATCCAGAACTTTAGGATTTGAGAGAACACAAAGCATAAATGAACCGGCGCCTTTACGAACGATTTTGATGATGGTTGTAATTCTACAAGTCTCAGTTTCAGCACCGTACACTAAAATTGTATTAACGTATGTATCAAAAAGAAATCTGACTTAAGTGTTAGTAGACAGTTGTTTTAAGTTTCATATATTCTTCAATTGTAGGGTGTGCTCCCTTTGGCTTAACCAACTCGTACTTTAATATTGGAATAAGATCCAGTATGTTCATCAGTGATGTTGATCAGTTATGTATGTTGTAGGAGTTTCTGTTTCTTCCACAGCTTCTTTGTTACGTGCAATCTAGTTGCTGTTCAGAATTTTTATTCTTTTCTTTCAAATACTGAGATCTACTTCTGTGAAGGCTGTTGTAATACTAGTGTGGTGTGAGCTACTTATAAGTAGTATATGACGTGAGTGTAAACGTAATGTCTGGCAGCATAATATGGAGGAAGATCAAGAAAGGAAGAGTTAGAAAAAAATGGAACTTGTATGAAACGCATGAATAGTGACAATGGGTTGATGTTGTTTGCAACAGGAACAGTCCAGTTCGATATGATGAACTGATATTTTGCAAATTAACGATTTACGATATGGTTTTCCAATTTTACTGAGTAACTCTGTAATTTTCGTTAAACACAATTCGGTTGCCCCACCTGTGTTCTCGTTCACTACACTAGCAGTGTTTATTTGCATTTATACCTGTGTATAGGACAGAAAAGCTAAGTCATCTGCAAAGTTCAAATCGTCCAGCTAAATCAAAGCAATCAATCCACTGTATTATGTAATCTTCTTGAGGTGTGAATATCATCATAATCTGTTCAACAGCCAGACAGAAGAGAAAAGGAGAGAGTTGGCAGACTTATTTGACATCAGTCTTTATTTGGAATGCATATGTGATCCGACCTACAAGAACGACTTTGCAACTCATTCTGTGGCTTATTTATTTATTTAAACACGTAAACATTAGTACGAAACACAGGAAAAATATATGCACACCACACAAATCAGTGGCTTAGCGTATGTGCTAGGTTACTGTCCAGGTGAAAAAACCGAAGCAGGCAGTCTTCTTAGGGGACCAGTCCCTGAGTCTTTGACTTACATGTCTAATTCACGAGGCTGTGGAGGATCCTTAAGCGATAAAGTTCTATGGTAGCAGCTGGCTAACAATAGATTCATATGCATTTGTTTCCTTAGGATCCTGGAATTCTTATGAGAGCATTTAGAGAGGTGGAACAAGCTCTCCGTACCATCAACTAGACCCGGCGTATTTAGGGGCGCGATTCATCGTAGGAGTTCTGTATGATTTCTTGATACTCTGCAGTGTCAAAGAAGATCCTAGAATATTTTCCTATTCACGCTATCGAATACCTTTTCATAATCAAGGGAGTTGATATGTAAAGATGTATTCCATTTGAATGATCGTTTAACAGTGATCGTCACTGTCGGGCGATTTAGTCGCTACAAAATCCTGAAGGAAGCCAACGTTTCAGTTCTGAATTTGGGTGGCTACCAGTTATTTGGTTCAGCAACATCGTTTAATACGTTTTATGATACTGAAAGTAGTATGAAGCTTCTGTAGTACTCACACATGTTGCTTTCGCCGGTATCCTTTTCAAATCTGTAGGGATTCACTCTTTCTGATAAATGCTTCTGAAAAGAATGTGGAACATCTTTGCATTCACCCATACGATTAGCTGTAGTGTTTCAGCTAGTACGTTAAGTCTTGTTGTTCCGGAGCTCTTGATTAGACTGATGACTTTTCTAATTTCTATTATTAATGTCGTAACATTTATAGTGTTGTTTCCACATCTAATGGGTCCAGTGGTATCAGTCCACTTAAGAGCTCTTCAAAGTACTCCAAACACCTGTCCCGTTGCTTCATAACCTCAATCATCGGTTTACTTTATTCCTTTTTGAATGGGCGCTCTCGGTTTATCATATTTCTTGGTTGTATTAAATAATTACTTGATATTCCTTTTTGTAACAAATTTTTCTGCTATAGTTGCTAGATCCTCCACATATTTCTACTTGTCAGATATCAGGTTCATCTTCAACCATTTGTTTGGTTCTGTACATTCAGCCTATGCCTCGGTTTTTTCTGATTTTGCTTGCTTGTTATTAATTAGTGGTTGCTTTCTTGAACCTTATACAGGCTGCCTAAAGAGACCTGTTCTTTGTACTGGGTGCTTCTCGAGGCTAAGATCCTGACAATCTGAATTTTTGGGATCTTTATAATCTATTCCTTCATGTTCTATGGTGGTTCCCGGGAAAAAAACATTAAAACGTTTTATACCATCAAGGCAAAGTTTAAATAGGTTTTTGTTGTTGGAACTTTTTAGTGAGTTTCGTTTTTACGAAATGGAATAGGTAATTAATTCTATGCTCAATCATCTCCCTTTACACAAGCTTGAGACCAGCACTAAGCATTGTGGAGCTCCTAAGGTTATTATCTTCACACATAGACTTATGCAATTTCAAAGAGTTACCTTAAGAATCTGCCAACTCTCAACATGGTCTAGACTAGCAACTCAGTGATTTCCTGAAATGTCAAAAATGGCCAACAGAATTCACTCAGTCAGTCAGTCAGATGCAACGTAGAACTTCGTACATAAGTACATCAGTTCATGCTGCCATACCACATCAGCACAGAGATATAATTGTCAATTCAAATCACATAGTAGTAGAAGTAGTAAAGGTATTAGAAGTAATCGGAGAGGTTAGGATTAGAAGATATTATTCAAGAAGTATGATTCAGTGAGAAAAGTTTAGGAAGTCAAAACTAGAGGGGTTGAAGAATCCAGAAGATTAGGATTTGAGAGAACACAAAGAATGAATGCACCGGCGCCATTGCAAAAGATTTTGAGCCATGTCATTCATCATCATCTTGCGGACCCCAACCAGGTAGTCGACAATTACCGACATGGCTAAGTCCACTTGTCGATGACTTCATGGATTTCTGCCATGTTTTGGTTCGGCCGCCCCTAGCTTTCTTCCAACCTATTCCTACACCTCAAAACAAGGCTCGACGAGGCAGTCGGTGGTTGGGCATACGCAACACATGTCCCAACCACCTCAACTGATGAAGTTTCATTATTTCATCTATTGATCTGGCATTCTTACCTAGCACCCGATTCCTAATAACAGCGTTGCTCACAGAATTCACTAACTAAACGAAATATTGAATAAGCAGTAGGATATTGATAACACCAGTGAAATTTAGTTTGAAAACACACAAATGCTGTATCGATTAATAATAGAAGCGCGGGGGGGGGTGGGTAAGAAGAGGAGAAAAATACACACACAAGCTGCATATATGTTAGCAGTATTCATTTCAGATTAGGAGATGATTAATTTACCGTCGGATGGATTGTATTTATAGGTTGTGCAATCTGAACTGGTTTTTTTGATGAACTTGAAGTAGGCACGCAAGTTGTACAGAAACGAAAAACACCAGCCATCCAACTAGTACCTTTTTTATGGCTGGTTGTAGACTATAAAATAGGTTGTATGTTAAAGTTTAACAAAGATTAACAAACTCAAGCAACAAAATGAGAATATCTAAAAATATAATTGTTCAATTCACTTATGTACTATTTACAAGGCAGTCTTTAATAGGAAAAAAAAATAACCACCTGGCGATAGAACATTCGAAACTCAGTATTTAAACTGTAAAAATAAGTAATACAGTTGATTGGTATGGATATAGTTATCTTGTGGATAATTGATCTAATCCACGGAGTATCATAAAAGGTTGATATACTATGTTGCCTGATTCGCTGAAGGTCTAGAAATAGATCAAGTATCACTTACTATTTTTCTTGAAACTTGAAGCTTTTACAACCGACTGGATAGTCATGTAATGATTTTGAATATAAAACATATCAGTGATTAGGCAACTGGTTTAGCACAACTTCAAGATAAACTGATCATAGTACACCCAAACGTAGCTGCTACCTTGACGTGGTGGTTGTGCTTGCCTATCGTGATGACCCAACCGACCTATATTGGCTGGAACATATATTTCTGTAGGTTCCCCCATGCCAGGCAAGTCGATTGGAGAACGGTAAGACTATAAGCAGCAAATTAAGGTCAGAAGATGAAGTCGCACTGCCGACTGCAGAGGGGTGTGATAGCAGTAAAGTGTTTCTCTCGCACAACCCACATTTGCAGCGATGCATTTCCCTCACAAGGAAGGAAGGGGTTAGAAAAGGTTGACTCTAAGAATGTCATAGCTCACCTAATCTCACAGATTTCCGTCTCTGGCGGTAAGGCCATTTGAAGACGTGAGCTAATACTATACAATCCTGTCATAAAAAGATCGTGAGTGACCGGCCTCTTGGGCTCTGTTGTCACACTCCCAGGTCGATCAGACTGACGCTGGCTTTATATGTTCTTCAAGAAACACCATTTCACAATGTGGGCAGCCGGGAATTGACATCCTCTATCATACTCGTAACAGCACACGAGTCTAAAATAGTTACGATCAAATCCTTCCTAGTCACTAATAAAACTTGAAGAACCATAACATTTCGAAGCATATTATGGAAAGCGTTGCGACTAACGTTACAAATATACCAAGATAACTATTTTATTATTGCCAGTTATTGAGGGCACATGATAAGCAAGGTTCATTTTGAAATCTTCACACCACAGTTTAAAGCTGTATTATAACACTATAAGTATATAGAGTTTAGGGCAAAAATTAATCGAATGTATGCCTATGATCAAAGACATAATCCCTAGGAGTTCACTTGAATACAAATTCATGAAAACCTTTTGCGTTTTCAGCTACCTCATATTTAATCCATTAAAGTGAATCTAGGGAGTTAATAAAGTTTAGTAACAAATTAAAGATTGATGTACCCATCATACATTCATAATAATTTTGAAATATTCGAATCACTTGTCAATTTTAATTTCAAGCTTCTGGATGGTGTGGTACCACTCAGATGGAAGAGAACATACTATCGGAAAATAATTATTTCGATGTTTAAACTTAGAATTTTCACATTTAATGCTCCTTTGTACCAATTATTTTGTCGTAACACAGGAAAGTCAGCCTGAGAAGTAAAACTTAATAAAATTTCACAGAAAGTGGCGACTTTTAAACACGTTCATGGACGAGTCCTTAATATAATCCACCAACTCAATAAATATTATGATACTCTAACTAACTGACTAACTTGTCATAGCAGATAGTTACAAAGAAGTCTAGTTATCTCGAAATGAGGGGAAACACGTTTTGAAAACTACAAAGCTGGGACGAATACAAATAAAGAAAGGTAGGACTTTGTAACGTGATAGAAATGCGTCTTCTGAAAATTGTACAATTGAACTTAAAATGAATAGGAACTGATATTTTTAAAACTTAGTAAGTGAACAATACGTTCTAATAGAATGGAATAACTCCTTTTAAAATTCTTTTCGTGAAAAATGGGTCACTACAGGATTTTAAATTACTGAGGAGTGGGTTATTCAGGCTTCGATATTTGTATATTTTTGTTCATATATAAATATGCATATTTATAGCCAAGAAGTGTACCAATCGATTATAAATTTTGATTTTTGAGTATCGTACAATTATGACGTCAAGACACGTCAACTTAATGACAATAATATGAATTAATGGAAACTTTACCGTGAAGTTATTGACTGTTTATTCTAGAAAATTGAATAGCAAGTGCTTCCAAACGATGCCTGATTACTTGAAACTGGATTTACCTAATTTTATCTATTTTTTGTTTCTGAGAATTCGGATGATTTCGGGAACAGTCAAATCCTCGTCCAAAGCAATTCAAATTAAGCTCGTTTAGTCATATCCAATAGTCTTAAGGGCCTAAAATCATTTAAAAGCCACAAATTTTGATTAATAATGCAAATATTCGACTAAGAAATTGAAAAGTATTAGGGATTCATATAATTGTTCGCAGACGCTCAAAGAAAATTCATGTTAGGATACTAATACTATGTCTTTGTCCGAATGTAAATCTCTGGAAGGAAATGTAAAGCACATATCAATAAAAAGACACTTTTGTATATAAAAGTGATGAATTGTTTCAACACATCCCTATCTTTCTTAATAATAAAAGAACGGAAACGACATGCTTACTTTGGAGATTTTCGAAACGCCCCCGGAAGTAGACATTTGAAAAACAACACCTTGGGAGTCCATGGATTTACATTGTTATAACAAACGCCTCAACGTCTAATTTTTTTTGTGACGAAATAAATGTCTAGTATTGCTTTAATAAAGACCTAATTACTTGACTAACGTTTATGATATACATGAAATTATCTTGAATATATAGTAAGTGTATATGTTGTGTGAGATGTCATATTTTCCCACCATCAGTTTTGGAAACTAATCAAATCCATGAGCTAATGGTCAGATGTTTCATTCCCGCTATCACAGCAGACTAAAATAAGTGCTGTTTTCCTTCCTGTATTTTGCTTTGCACGATCTCCAGTTTTTCCGTAAAATCTTTCGATAGACGATTCTTTCCTCTGTTTTTTTAATGTAAGTTATTTTTGTGAGCTGTCATGAATGCATGAAGAAATTTGGGTGGTCGATAATGCTGTATGTTGTCATATTCCGGATGTCAAATATGATAACTACCCCTAGCCACTACCAAATATCTGGAGCCTTACTGGAAGAATAAGAATTGAGAGCAAAGTAATCAATTGGTTTGTGCTAGCTCGTGAAAAAGATACTGATTATTGGAATGGCCTGCAGGATTTATAATTCAGCTTTCCAGCTTTTTCCTATCATAAGGAAATTCTTGTTTCATTATGTGTTCTTTTAGCTTGATATCATGAGTTATAAAGAAATCATACGAATCACGCGCGCGCTTCGAATTTGAAGTGTCCTCTCTGACTCTCTTCCATTTACGGAAAACAATCCACTTTCGGAATACTTTATCACCTCCGAAGCTATAAAAAGTTGTCCCCATTCATTGGTTGACAGTCTGAAAACATTTTCGGGCATACGGAACCATTCCAATTCAGAACCATTGCGCGGTAGGTCTAGCTACCTCATTCAACTGCTCTAGTTCTAGTTGCTTCGGCAGCATACATACATCCAATCACTCACAAACACAGGACTTGTGGAAAAGTTACTGGATACACGCAAAGTTACTTACTAATACGGTCAAAGGTAAAGTTGCAATTTCGGAGTACTTTCAGGCTCTATTCCTTGTAGTTTTATTATATACTCCTACATTTCTTCTTTTCCTAACCCCTTTTTTTGTCTCTCGTATTTTAATATCGGTATTCACCTCCTAATCTCCCTGGCATCATGTCAAGTAATAAGGTCGCTAGTACACTTTACACTGTAACAACTAGGAAAACTTATAGTGGCATAAACCCCGGGGTCGATAGTGCATCGAAAATCCCAAGATCGTGCGAACGGGTTACTAAAAAACCCAAAAAGTCAGTCGATAGTACGCCCCTCAGTGTCCATACTTTAGACCACCCAATCCAGACACCACAGAGGAAGCAAGACACCACTCCTATTCCTAAAAAGTCCGGTAAGCTAGTTAAGAATAGGAGAAAAAGGTGCTCCAAGGCTCGGTCGACACAGTCCAACGCCCAGAAACAGCATAACGACGACTGTTTTGCCTGCTCATCACCAGTCGAAACCAGCGACCATGCTTTCGAATGCAACTTCTGTAGTACATGGGCACATTGTCACTGTGACAATACAGTACCTAAGGAGTACTACGGTTTCATGCTGAGTCATCCCTGCCCATGGTTCTGGTACATTTTCCCTCGCTGTAGAGTTTCTGAGGCACTGAAAAAGCCAGAGGTCCCACCTAAAATCAACCCCTAAGTCCAAACGACCAAATCAAAATCGCCTGGCACTAGACCAGTAAAACAAGTGACCAAGGCTACCACAACCCTGCCCAACACACGGACAAAACTGCCGGTTGTTATTAACCCCCCAGTATCTGCCGGCGACACGAAACAGTGGGTGAACGTGAAGAAGGGAAAGAGAAACACCCCAACTCACAAGCGGCTTCCACCCAAGACCAGGGACGACAGATCTAACTCGCTTATTTTATTTAATGTCCCAGTGTCGGAAGGAAGCCTGCTGGAAGGTAGGGCTGCCTTCGACAAAGAGCAATGGGATAAACTCTGCTCAACCCTCGGAATGTGCGACGTTCCAGCCAAAATATTCCGCCTTTTCAAATGCCAAAATGTCTCGAAAGGAAAACCCCATCCAATGAGGGTAACTCTTGACTCGGCACGACTTGCTGAAGACATAATCCTTTCATCCCAAGGACCATCGGTCAAATTGTCCTCGCTGATTCGTATCAGGCATGACGAGCCGTGGTCGGTACGCGCAGCAGCCAGAACTGCACCAGACACCCAAGAACAGACCACCATGGTAGTTCACGGCATACCCGAACCCACCGGCGGTAACCCGGACGAAGCTTACGAGCACGATGTGCAACAGTGGCGATGGCTATCGCGTAGCCTATCCCTCCACATCAAGATGGCAGTCTGCATTTCCAGGTTGCCCCACCCGTCATACCTTACGTCTATCAAGACACCACGCCTGATGGATGTAACATTTAGGAACCTGGAAAACCTGAACGAAACACAACAAGCTTGGTACAGTTTGAAGAACGATCTGCCTAGCCACATCAGATGTTGTGAGAGCTCACCTAGATCTGTGAGACAACAACAGGGAGGCCAAAATGAACGCACACAAATGATAATTAAACTCTTTCAACTACCTCTGGCCTAAGATATGAGTGAACCAACCGCGCAGGCAAAAAACCTGCAGAGGCCAGTTACCACAGAGCTGGCCGATTCGGTTTAAATAACTTGTCTCAAAACCCGACAAAGGCTGCTGCTGCAAATGTGCACCAGGTGCTTAGACAACTCACCAAGTGCCTCCATAGTAACGTAGGAGGACTAAGGGGTGAGCTGTTAGAAATCAGCAATACGTGCTCTCAGATGGATATGAAGATCATAATCCTAACTGAAACATGGCAATCCCCTGACATTGCAGACGCAGAAGTGAGCTTACCAGGCATGAAACTCTTCCGAAGCGATAGGGAACACCAAGCTGGAGGTGGAGTGGCTATATATATATATATATATATATATATATATATATATTTATAGCAACTTGAAAGCATAGCGACTATACGACACCCAACTAACTGAGGTGACAGAACCATGTTTGTGTTGTTTCCACTCGAATCGCACGAAATATTTGATTGGAGGGATCTACCGACCTCCTTCTGGTACTAAGGCCCAGAAAAGCGAACTGATTGAGGTAATACTGCAAATGCCACTCCTAGGGTTTGATGAAATACTCTTAGCCGGAGGGAAGTCCTGAAACCTGGATTATCTGTTAACGAATGACCAGCTTCTGGTTGAGCATATTCACATGCGCGCTCCAATAGGTAATAGTGACCATGGCACAGACCCGTTTAACATGGTCCCGAATCGACAGGAGACGATTTCCGACGAAGCTAGCCGCCAGAATAGAGGCAAATCCGAAATATCTGTTTAGGTTCATGTTCAAAAGAAAACCTACTAATCAAGGGTTGTGTTCTCTAAAAGCGCCAAACGGGGAAGACCTCACCAACGTAGAGATGGCCGAGATCTTCAACACCACTTTTGCTGATCAATTAAACCAGGCGCGTACATGTTCAGAGTATTACGCTAACATAATGCCAGCTGACGGCTTAGGGAACATCCGTATCACTCCTGACCTAGTACTAAGGAAACTAAAACTAAGTCACCAGGTTGTCACAAAATCCGCCCTATAGTCTTGCAAAAGTGTGCTGAATTCCTCTATTCACCGTTATGCAACCTCTTCAGGCATTCACTGGAGTCACACCGATTCCCAGCTGAAAGGAAACAAGCTACTCTCTCTCCAATCTTCAAAGGCGGAGATAGAAAGGACCCAGCCTGTTACAGACAAGTCGCACTAATATATATATTATCAAAGGTTCTAGAAGGACTAGTGGACGAACAAATGAGGGGGTACATGGATAAGAATAAAATACTCCATGAAGCTCAACACGGGTTTCGGAAAGGCAGGTCATGTGCATCTAATCTTCTCATTGCATGGGACTGTTGGACATCCTGCTTGGACCGTAAATTACCAGTGCACGTAGTATTTCTCGACTTCGCAAAAGCCTTTGACACAGTGCCCCACGCACGCCTAATCGAAAAGGTTGTGGAAATGGGCTTCACTGACTCACTCGTATCTTGGCTCAGAAACTACCTTGAGAATAGAAAGTTTCGCACAAAGGTAAACAGGGTGCACGCGAGTTGGAGAGTATCCACTTCAGAAGTTTCACAGGGGACTATCCTAGGCCCCTTCCTCTTCCTGATATTCATTAACGACCTGCTAAGCTTAGTTAGCTCACCGGCATTGATCTACGCAGACGATGCGAAGATCTGGAGGTCCATTAGAAGCGAAGGGGATTCGACTGAGCTTCAAAAGGACCTTACTTCTATTGAGAAATGGGCAGTGAAAAACGGTTTAAAACTCAACCAACCGAAGTGCTACGTTATGCATTTCCTGCCTCATATGACGCAAACCACCTACACTCTCAATGGAAGTCCGCTCCTTAATGTCTCTTCAGAGCGCGATCTTGGTTTATTAACCACAGAAAGCCTCCACACGAGTCCGAACTATGTAGGGAATGCAGCCAAGGCAAATGCGACTTTTAAATTTAGGCGAAGACAGCTTGGTGCTATCACCTCGAAATTATTTTTAACACTGTTTAAGACGTACGCGCGCCCACAGTTGAAAAATAAACCCTACGACGACAGACTCCAGCTCTTGGGATTATTTCCACTGAGCTACAGGAGAATCAGAGGTGACCTGATTATGGCGTACACCATATTAAACACGCCATCTTACCGCATCTTACCGATGCATCACCACCACTACCCTCGAGGCAATCCTCGAAAGATTGCACATCAAAGAGCAAATACTCAGATTCGTGCACACTTTTTCTCATTGCGAGTCGTCGCAACTAGGAATGCTCTCCCAGCAGAGGTGGCCACAGCCCCGTCAGTGGACTGCTTTAAGAAGAGACTTGATAATCACGTACTCACATACGGACTATCATCTCCCTGTTCGACAAGCTGTGCCTGATGCATAACTTGAGACCT